TGCATTTTCCGCAGGAAACGCTTCCTAATTTGGAATTTTCACAAAATTCACGAAAGGATTTTTTGAATACTCAGCTTCAAAAGTTTCGATTATGCTTCCAGCGAGACCACAGTCTGCTTGGAGTCATTTTTTTGAAAAAAAAACTTTTTTGGAATATGAATGCTTCTAATTTGAGATTATCACAAAATCTTCGTAAAAAAACATTTCAAAAATACTTAGCTTCAAAAAGTTTCGATTAAACCACCAGATAGATGAGATTTGCTTACTGAGACTTTCCGGTTTTAAGAATGAACTATATTCATCTATCCAAAGACCGAGCTGTACGGAAAATAATAGCAAATGTAACAGCTTTCTTCGAGTCACATCCTTTTTTTATCTTTCCGCAAATATTTCAAACATATCTTTTTTGTTACTTTCTGTTGATATGCAAGTCTCGTATCATTGTTCTCAAAGCTGTAAAATATATTGTTCCTTAGGCCCCGGGCAGACTTCACGCGACTTAATCGTCGCGATCTAATCGCCAAGATTTCCATTCATTTTCATTTCACATTCAAAAATTTTGGGCTGGAAAAGTATCACAACCGAATGCAAGTTGATCGGCATGGAATGATGTTGTAACAGTTGTCTCGTCGCGATTCAGTCGCGACGATCAAATCGCGTGAAGTCTGCCCGGGGCCTTAGGATCCAACATTGATCCTTAGAACCCATTTAACATTGATGCCTTCTAGCAATTCTACCCCTTCGAGATTTTGAGTGGAGTTGTGGAAATCGGTGAGGCGTCACATCCTACCGTTACCCCAGCTATCATTTGTGACATGTTTTATGGGTTTTTGAAAGCACCCTCACAGTTTTTTCCTTTGCCATCATTATTCGAATGAGATACCACTGTTTTGCATGTTACAGCGAATTCCTTTGCAAAAATTGTAAGCTAATTGCAAGCTAGCTTTTTCTCACTAAAAGTATGGCACGGGTTTGAAAACGTAACGACCCAGAGGTCATCAAAGTCATGGATCTGCCGCTTTTAAAAATTTCGATTTCTTTTATCAAAAGTGGCAACAGAATGATGACTGCCCCCTTCCAGCTTTTCAAACCGCATCCTTTTTTTGATTTACAGATATTCGAATTTTATACAGCTTTTGCTATCGGATCCCTTTGAGGATTGCTATCCCCTCAACCCCTTTTCAGCCAGGAGCAAGCTAACCGTCTCCTAAATGAAATTTGGAAAGTCAAGCTTTGAGTCAAAGGTTGGGTAAAATAAAAACGATTTTCAAAATTATATTTGAATAATAAATTATGTTAAGAAATATAGTGATCTACATCAAATCGTGAACTGATCTGTTCCAACAATGAATGTTGAGTTGCTTTTGTAAGTGTCAAAGCGATTCGAACTATACGAAAATTAGCTTTTCTAGTGATTCGATTTTGGGTTATGCCATTTGATCAACATCGTCTCAGACAGGCCTCGGAATTCAAAGATGGCGGCGGCGATGAGCAACCCGCCAGACGGATGTTTATCTGTTCAAAGAAGGGCGGCGCGGAGGGGGGATTTTTTTGATTTTTTAAGATTTGAATACCCCCGCCTCGGCGGCCCAGAGGGGGGACCACGGCTTGGCGGCGGGGAGGGGGACCCCCCCCCCCTCCCCCTCGGCGGCAGAGGGGGGCCTTGCCAGAAATGTTTGCTTCTGCTGTCTGCTGTCTCCGCGAGCTCCAGCAGCGCACCAGTTGTTCCATTTTTAGTTTGCACTTTCCCTTATCGTTAGATATAAACTGCAAGGGATGTGATGAGGCCGAAGTAATTTGGGAGCTTTTCGGCGCTTTCGAGCACTTTCCAGCTATAGGACAGATCAAGCTTTACAAAAATGCCAACAAGAATCCGCCTAAGTCGCATTTCTTGTAAAGTTGGAGCCAAATTCGGAAAAATCTTTTTCATCTGAAAATCAAATTTTGGCGAGAAAAAAGATCTCCAACTTGCTCATTATACAGCAAACACATAATGGTACTCGAATATGCCTTTATCAGGTATATTTGGGTGTAGAAAAGCGGAAAAATAGTCTAAAAATAACATACCCGCCCCCAGCCTCTCTCACTTATGTCATTGTATACTACAAGCCCTAAGGCAACGCTGGTTTACCCACACTTAATAGATGATGACAAAATTCTCTTGATAAGAAGCAACTCGGTCATTCTCTAAATAAGAAGTAACTGAGGTACCCTATACCGCCAAAACGATGAACGGCGGAACGCTTGTGCTTAAGAGCTGTTCATTCTTGGCATTCTTCCTAGATCCCCTGTGAAAATGAATGATGTCCGACGCTTTGCGAAGCATGTTCGCTTTCACAAAGATTGTGCATCCAATACTGAAACCCGTACCATCTTCAACTGCTCATGTTTCCCACGTGCTCGTGTTTCCTCGTTTTATGCTAGCTAGGGTCCGCTCCACTCAATTCTGCACGGTTTTCTAGATTTTGACTCCAAAGTATTATAACATTTTTTAATTCTTGCTAAATGGTATGAAAAATATAATATATAAAAGCAAATTGCCAAGCTAAACATTACTGATTATATTTGCAGCTTGAGCGAGGAAGATTAGGCAGGTCAAACTACAGCAGGTCAAACTTTACGAAAAATCGATAAAAGTCGATAAAATCGATGTCGATCGTTGACGAAAAGTAGCCTATGACACCTGCCCTGCCCCGAAATGTAAGTGTGCCAAGTTTGCTGAGGATCTGTTCAAAAATAAGAGTTTGTATTCGTAATATACGAAAACTCTGGAAGAATCTAAACAGGTCAGATATTAAATTGTCCCAAATGTAAACAGGCTACCTCAGCGATCGATTTATTCAAACTATTTGCACTTTTTGCAAATACAGAGAAAACATTCCAAAGTTGGGCACAGCCTATAAAGACAGAGCTTTTTTGAAATTCATTGAGGATTTCTGCCGTATTGAAATGTTAGGATTGTAGAGCACTATCAAAATTGGGAGAGTAACAACGACCCGAAAGATTGTTTATATGTTCTAGTGAAAAGCCTTAGATTCGCGCATTTTTGCAACTGAGCTACACATATTCAAAAGCCCGTTGGGAGCAGTTCAAATTTGACTCGACGATTGACTACTTTGCAAGCTATTAATGTTAATGTCCCAATATCGCATTTGCTTACCTTCGCGTGCTAGCTCATCCTTCAACGAATGCCGGAAAAATATCAGTGAACCAAAAATGTCATATGTGATCTTGAGAAAGCATATTCCGTGATCATTATAACCGAACCGAATTATCCTCCTCACCTTAGCAACTTTCAATCGGCCAAATGACAAATGCTACCACCAACTAATTATCCCGATCATGAATTCTTTTCTAAAAGGAGCCTACACTAACAGAGAAAAATGGTTAGTTCCAAAACGCCTCTAAACACTTACGTACTTGCGTTTGGGACTCAATAGTTGCTGTTTCAAATGCTGCCGTTTGAGTTTTACGAATTTTTGCAACAAAAGGCCAAATCTTGCTGGGGGGGGCCTAATCAATAAATGACTTTGTATAAGTGGTGCAAATGTTCAAGCTCTGGCCGGCAGTCTATGCTTTCTCAGAAATCTTTGGCAAAAAAGAATTCTCCAATTCATGCTAAACGCAAAACATTCATACATAAGGTATAAGAGCGCTTTATCCCTTTATATGTACGTCTCTCTCAATAAAAACTTCTTATGTGTGCATTATAGTCCCGCAAACAGTTGCTTCTCGTCACATAACAAGTTTGGATGGAAAATTTCCTTTGATTTAATTTCGCTTTGCAGAGTCTAATAAAGAAAAATTTCAAATCGCAGTGAACTGGAATGAGTTTGCATCGTTGAATGCATCTTGATTTGCTGACTTTAAAACTGCATTCCATAACTGCTAAGCTACTCTTTAGAAAAAGTTTTGGGCGGTTAAAGTTGTGAAGGGATCAGCGTATTAGTGTATGATAAGCTTGAAATCGAGCTGAAGAGTGCATAATCGGCATAATGTTGAGTAAACCGACTAGAAGATTGCATGCATTACCAAAGAAATGAATGTTTCTGAACATTCTAAACAACAATGACACGGAAGCTGATTTGAGATGAGCTCAAAAGACGCATCTAATTACATGCGTTTTGCTCCATATCCCACTGCGACTTGGGACATTGTACAGCTCCTTCACCATGCGCTTTATGGAAAACGAGAAAAATAGAAACTCTGTAAACCTATAAAAGACCTACGTATTATAAATCTAGTAACGTGAAGTTTCATGTTCAGGACAAAGAGTAGGTAGCATACCTGATATCTTTTTTCAGAAGCAAGTTTGTTGGTTACGGACAATTTCTCAAGAAGATCATATTATTGTTTAATGTGTTTCTCAAGCAAACAAAATTTATCACCTTTCAATTACGTTATCCGACAAAATAAAATGCCCAACAGCGATAAAGCAAGCTACAGTTTACATCATAAACATTCATTTCATCAAGCGGCATTCGTGCAACGCACAAAGACGAAGGCATGTTCTGAAAAGAAGTCAATCCCTGCTGGAGACTAGTTGGTTATCTAACCCAGTAGAAACATCAACCATTCAAGTTTCTCCCTACTGCAAATCCTGAGTGAGCAGGATTGCTTATCAAAGAAAGGGAATTTTAGAGTGACAACGAATGGATTGTTGACGGCATTACAGCTGAAACGATTGTCATTCGAGGCAGCACAGACCTCGACATCAAATACTACATAGTAAGACTAACAACATAGGAGCATACAATCTAATGTTTGGTATTTACCGGACAGGCCACGTTCTCGTTTGGAATGCGCCGAGCTGCTACGACATACATCATCACAATAATATTACCGTCATTCGTACTGACAATTGTTTGCGTACTTGTCATGTTTTGGACCAAGTTTGATCACAACGATTACTTAGCAAAAGTAAGTCATTAAGTTATATTGAGAGTATGAGACATCAATTCGCAATTTTGATTGCGTGCGGACTTTCTGTCATTCTTGCAATGTGCGAGGTTCTTCAAATTGCATATCAAGATATGCCCAAAACTAAGGAGAAGCCTCTATTAGGTGCGTGAGAAATTTCTCCTTTTTTCATGATTGCTACACTTGCGAGACTTTTTAGCAACTTACATCATGATAAACTTGATGTTGGTGGCCTTTGCTATATCAATAGTGGTTATGGCGTCCGAACCCTGCCACTTGCCAGAATTCGGTATTCACTCAGTAAAAAGGTCAGTTATTGACGAACAAAGCAAACATCACTTCTGCTTTTTCTACAGATGGCTACGTCAAATGGATCTCAATCTGCTTGCTAAGTTCCGATTTGTTTGCTTGTTGGCATTTCCACTGGCAACAATTGCAAATCTGGTCATACTATTGGAAAACAAAGAATAATTTGAGATAATCAATAGGTCAACAGGTCATATTTGAAATGCTGTTCTCAAAAGTTTCGAAAATGATCTCTTCCGTCTTTGTCGTGTCTTTAGCTGTCTGTGTCTTTAGCTTCATCATGTTAGTTCGAAGGCATTACTTCAATAAAGAAATTGTGACTGACTGATTCTAAAGTGACCCACTAGAGTCGCCTTATCTTTCTTACGAACATTACTTCAGTGAAGAAGTTTTGACTGACTGACTCCAAAATGATCTGCTGGAGTTACTCATCCCTCTCTGTAATGACCTGCTATTGTTTGGCGGAACCTGGTAATGGTTATTTTCAAACGCGTCGAAGTCAACGATGCAATAGAAGGGGCACAGAATTGCAGTAAAGTGTCCTGAGTATCCAATCGGAGTCTACGCACATCCTTACAGACTTTCTGCTTTTACATGTGTTTTCAATGCATCCGGCAAGTTAGCGATAAAGCAGCTAACCGCAGTTAACCGCTCTTGTTGAGGAGCTTTTAAGAAGGTGGTTTTTTGTTCGCGCATTCAAATTTTGTTTTCAAAATCAGGTTCAACCAAGATCCCAAAAATCATCGGTGTTTCAAAAATGATTGGTCAAAATTATTTGTATGCAGATACCGCTCTATTTTTGTTGAGGAAACATGCATCAACAGTTTGTAATTAGTCAAATCTCACTCAGAATACTTGTTGCTTTTGTGGCATGCTCCTTAATTGTTTCAAAAACATACGCTTGAACACTCAAACGTATTAATAAGATCGAAACGGCTCTGGCAGCTGTGTGCTTTGAAAATGGAGACGCTATTGAGCTTTCATTGTTTCTTATGCTATGTCAAGAAAAAGACCTTTTTTTTTTCTTATGTGAAAATTAGGTTTACTTGTGGTATCATGTGCACACAGTTTATTGAGGTCACAAAAAGTTTGGTTTCAAGTTACACCGATGTTCAGGCATATGTTGCGAGAGAATCATTCAGCAGAGTTTTGTCATGCAGTTTATTGCATTTCTTACCCTAGTTAGCACTTCAATAAGCGAGCTATCCTACGGCAACGGTAAGCCTACCTTGAAGGTAACAGATTTGTTGCTCGATCCGTAGAAACAAAACTTCCAAGCGTGCAACTGTTTTATCGTTATTGAGTTTTCTGTCTCAGAGTAGTTTGCACACTTTCGTTTACGATTTTTTGTTGGCTTCAAAACTAATCAACAGGCTACATATATTTTCCTCATAAAAAAGCCAGTAATCGTTTTCACTGTTGTAAAATTACGGTAGGAGTTACAGGCAGCTCCAGCAAGTTGGCCAGAATGGCTGTGCAAACATGGTAAAAAATTTACGAACGCTTCCCAACTAATTGTAAGCTCACATTAATTCACAGCATAGGTAAATTGCTTTACATGCAAATCTAACAGAGGAAACCTTTTAGTCGAAGTGGCCTTTACAAGGACCCTATACTACTTAGGACCATAGAATGTTAAAAATCTGTATTTATTATCTGTCAAGCAACGCCAAGTTATGAGTGTTTTCGATGCGAAAAACGCAACGAAAGCAAATCTAAGTATGACGATTACGATCTTTGCGTTTGAACGGAGCAGTGTTGGGATGATCTTGAAGGTATCAGACATCCACTGAATGAAGTGTTCTGATATTCAACACTTGACCTTTAGCATTTGGCCACTGAAAATTTTTGTTTCAGTTGCACATAATTTTTCAATCTTAAAAACACTCATAGCTTGGCTTCCAGAGGCATTTGACAGAAAAGGAAGACAGATTTGGCAACATCACTCAGTGCTATGAAAAGTGATATGTGTAGTTTGGGAAAACAACTTCGACTAAAAAGTTTTCTTCAAGTAGTTAGAGTTAGTCCTGTACAAAAGTTATTATGGATGTTAAAAGAAAGGAGTACCAGCAACTGCAATGTTTGCATGGTTTTGGGATACCCTGTGTATTATCATATACAATATAGTTTCAATTTTTTGGTGATAATCAAGTTTCAGGAGCAAACGTGGACATCTATGAGAAGCAAGGTAGACTAGTCTCTTATCTACTTTCTGGATACAGAAAGGACATGCCTCCACTCGGAATAAAAAGTATGCATTGTACCTTATCTAACATATAGGACGTCCATCCAGCGAAAATGTATCAAACTTTGATCTTTAGAAGTTCTTTGCACAAAAGTATGATAAAAGTTCTGCCAATTCTTTTGCGATTATGGTGTGTGCTCCGGCCAGCTTCCCGTAGATACTTCCGCGACGCATCCGCGACGCGACTTTAGCGCGCCTCATGTTTCAGCTTTTGATAATTTATCGTTCATTCGTTGACCGTACGGACTGCCGACCACGTGGCGACTGCGACGCGTGCCTTCTAAACTTGCGAAAAAGTGACAAGTTGGACCGTGGCTTAAGATGAGAAGAATTCTTTGTTTTTTTCTACATTATAAAGATGAGAAGAATCCTCTGTTTTCTTTCTATTCATCTTTTCTACGAAAACATCATGCACGCGCAGCGGTCGCCGCGCGGTCAGCAGTCGTTACGGTCAACGAATAAACGCTACCTGATTCTTTCTCTCCCTTTCTCACTTCTTGCCATATAATTTCTTTAGTTCAGGTACGCGGAATCCACCACAGTAGCCGGTGAAAAATTTCCAGGGCTTCGATAGTCCTAGAGCTTTTGTCGTGAATGTTCCTCGTTCTTTTATTGTAACAAGGATATAGGGATTTCTGGAGGGGGTGTTTCTTCAAAGAATTCTTGTACAAAACAAGCGCTCCTCTCGGCTCAATTCCGATAAGTTTGGACACCTCTAGTTAACGTGAAGCTATGTCACAAGCCAGTAGGACTCTCTTTGGACAAAAGTGCACTTTTTACTTGACTTCTCGAACTATTCTTGCATAGGCTTTTATTTAAAGCTGCGGTTTCCACGTCCCATTTTACTCTTATGTGAGCGTAGAAATGCTTTTCTGCTTATAAGCAGAACGAGAAGCATTAAGCCGGCACGCGCTGCGGGCGCGCCGCGGAGGTACCTGTGGCTGGCCGGGATACACACTATACCAAAATTGAATGGGGCGCGAGAGGCTGTTTAGGATATGCTCTTGAAGGGCGATGGCGCCAATTATCAGATACGCTATTGGGCTCAAAAAATTGAACTAAAGAAGTACCCCTAAAAAGGAGGGACTCCCCTCAACAAAAGGTGGCAATTGGCCATTCTTATTGGTCCTCCAACATTGCAGGAAAGCCAACATCCAGTCTGCTTTTATTCGACGTAAGAAGTAGGATCTACCTGCGATCTCAGTGACACCGAAGATAGAGAAGACCTACCGAAACATTCTAGATCTTATCATAGAAGAAGAACAGAAATTATTGAATAGTACTTTGCTGAAATGTGTCTCAAAAGAGCAGGCATGTAAACGTCTCTTGTCTTGCGAACGTTGGGAGAGGATGGAGGATGGTTCAATATTAATGTGGTTCGGTTCGATCTAAGATCAAATCCAAACTTCGTGCAAAGTACGACCAACTTTTGGCTGAACTATGTAAAAATCGCTCACGCGATGGTAGCAGCAAAACCGACGAAACCGACGGGCGGAGCTCAACAGAATGCGGGAGAAAGCCGGGGGAAACCGGGAAATGCTATGGAGGCCACGGATCGGAACAATAAAGAATAGAGAAGATGAGCGCATTCTGGAATTTGCCTCAGCTCATGATCTCTCACATACCACCTCAAGAAGGATTGAATGTCTACCTTATTACATACACGAGCGGCGACCGTCGAACACAAATATACTTTTGGGCTAGCCAACAGCGTGACTGCAAAAGCGTAAAGGACTGCAAAGTTATCCCCGGCGAGAAATGCATACCTCAACATAAACCAATGCTTCTCGACATCAAAAAAGAATAGATAGGTACATTAGTAGAGCCACAGAAACCAAAACACGCAACAAATGGTGGAGATCGAAGGCCAACAAAGCTGGGAAACCGACTGTTAACAACTCTACCAAGCTGCAAAAAAACCCAGAACGATTCTGGGCAAGCTTGGAAGATCGGTACACCAAGTGGCATATATGATCCTGGGAAGTACAAAACCAGGAAAAGGATCGATCGAGAAACGTGGTGGTGGATTGACGAAGTGCAAGGAGTCATAAAGGAGAATAAAGGTGCTTGCGAACGATGGCATAAAACAAAACCAGAGGACGATCGTCAGTCATGAAAACAAGCCAACATGCTGTAAAAGCTTCTGTTAAGAAAGCAAAACAGGTGTACTTGAAAGATCTCTACGACAAGTAAAGTCTCGCGCAGGAGAAGTGAGATATGCCGGATAGCGAGGAGAAGAGAAACGTGGTGGTGAGAAGACAAATGCAAGGAGTCATAAAAGAGAATGGGGATGCGTACAAGCGGAGTTGACTAAAGATATGGAGCACTTTATCCATATCAGAGACAAACTTGGTAGATGCTAAGAAAACAAAAGGACATTATCAAAAGATAGAGAACCTGCCCGCATCGTCAACCCACCACAGAGATTAGTCCCGAAGTACCAGTACCAGCAGTCACGGAAGAAAAAGCTTGGCTAGCTGTCAGAAATTAGGAAATGGCAAAGCGACTGGTATAGATGACATACCAAGCGAGTTCCATACGTGGACAGTCCGGAGCCTCATAACAAGTCTCTTCAATCAAGTTATGTAGAACAAGAGTTTACCTCGCGTTGGTATAGTAGCACAACGATTCCGATATGGAAGAACATAGGAGACATAGCAGACTGTGCATCCGATCGATCAATCCGACTGATTAGCCACACTCTAAAAATCTTCGAGCGAAGGACCAAGACACAACTTCAAGATATCATGGAGTTGTCATCGAATCAGTGCGGATTCGTGAAGGGAGTAGGTACAACCGACGCCATCCACTCCGCTCAGATAGTGATCCTCTCCTATAATATAAACCCGATCCCGAAACACGAGACGGCTAGAATGGTTCGTCCACTATATGGCTTCAACGTTTGTTTTGAATAGACGCC